ATCACCATCTTTCTTTACCTTGAATCTTAACTAAATTATCATCATTATCTTTCCTTCATCATTATCACCATCTTTCTTTACCTTGAATCTTAACTAAATTATCATCATTATCTTTCCTTCCTTCATTTTTATTTTCTTTATCAGGAGAAAGGCAGACAGACAGACAGAGAAACAGAGACAGACAGAGAAACAGAGACAGACAGACAGAAACAGAGACAGACGGACAGAGAAACAGAGACAGACGGACAGAATGAGAGATAGAGACAGACAGACAGAGAAACAGACAGACAGACAGATAGATAGACAGACACAGTGTTGATCTGAAGACACCACCAGCGTAACACATCGCCAACACCAGCGAAAAACTCCGCCTGGCGATCTCCTCCTCCTACACAAATAATGGAATATCTCCGCCTGACGAACAAACGACAGCTCATCTTTCTGCCTGTAGTGGCATTCCTTTGTGGTGGGAAGCGGATAGACACTCAGAAAATGATATCTGTGTGTGGTCGGTGGTCAAAAGCCGTGTGTGTGTGTGTGTGTGTGTGTGTGTGTATGTGTGTGTGTGTGTGTGTGTGTGTGTGTGTGTGTTGACTTTACAGCAAATTATCTCGAAACATTGTAACACTGAAACACACACATACATCCCCCCCCCCCACCACCACACACACACACACTTACACTTACACGAGAGAGAGAGAGATCGCATAGTTCCATCAAAGAGAATACAAAACATGTGTCAGAAGTTAATGCAGCGTAAAACATCTTGAGGTTGAGTTAGTTAAGAGCCGAGGCGTGTGAGAGAGGGTGAGAGTTTTTACCTCACCGCTAATGGCTGAGGGAGAGTGAAGCAGAGTGAGGGAGAGTGAAGCAGAGTGAGGGAGTGTGAGGGAGAGTGAGAGAATGAGGGAGTGGGTGATGGTGAGCTGAAAGTGAGGGAGTGTAAGGGAGAGCGAGAGAATGAGGGACTGGGTGATGCTGGGATCTTATTATTCTCTCTCTCACTCTCTCTCACTCTCTCTCTCGTGTATACTATCTACCAAATACCGCTTCTATTAACAAAACCTCGAGACTAACAGCGAATGAATCATCTATTAGAGTCGACAGAGCTGGTGGCGGTCGGTAGTTAGTCGGAGCTTAAGCGCCGTAAACATTGCCTCGCTTTTCTTACCTTCCCGGGCAGGTAAAGGTGCACCAGGACGCCATTGAGAGTTACTGTGATTTTTTGAGCCTTCATAATGGTCTTTTGAGGCCCATTATGTGTTGATAGGATGGTATTGTTATTGTTGTTGTTGTTGTTATAGTTGTTGTTATTGATGCTGTTGTTGTTGTTGATGACGATGTTGTTGTTGTTGTTATTATTGTTATTATTGTTATTATTATTATTATTATTATTTAACTATTGCTGTTGGTAGTCTTCTGCATTAATTAACATTATTAACATCACTATCAGCCAGGTGTGCGGGAAGGAAAGGTGCGCTATTTATGTTATAATTGAAGGCATCATGTTACCTGTGTATAATATTCTCTTCTTGTTGATTATTTTTTTCCTTACGCCTAAACGTGTAGTTATTGAGTCTTAGTGAAGGAACATATTATATAATTAGTGGAGGGAGACAGACAGACAGACAGCCTATAATTTAGTGGAATGTTGATTACGATCTGTGTGTGTGTGTGTGTGTGTGTGTGTGTGTGTGTGTGTGTGTGTGTGTGTAATAATAATAATAATAAACGGTTTATCAATAGAGTTGCAGCCGGTGGCTGAAAATATACAGACTTACATTTGATTTAGGCATAATGATATAATATGCATTGAATACATTTACAGGGCTGTACAGTACATAAATCAGGAGTTGTTTATTATTTTAACAATAGATGGGATGGGGCTGTTCTTATATCTATCGGTGCGGGCTCTTATGGGCTGAATTTTGTTGTAGTGGCGGACTGCGCGAGTTGGGCGGGGGGCTGCAGGTGGCAGGAGGTGGCGATGATGAGGGTGGTGCAGTAGTCCACTGCCAAACCTTTCCAGTGCTTGGTGGTGGAGGTCACTGAGGGATGGCATTTCCAGGGTGGAGAGAGCGTTGGTGTGTGTGTGTGTGTGTGCGTGCGTGTGTGTGTGTGTGTGTGTGTGTGTGTGTGTGTGTGTGTGTGTGTGTGTGCCCTACAATGCGGTAGAGACAATATCCTCTACACCACAAAGTCAACAGTGTTATCCTGTCCCGATTAACTCATTGCTTCTATAACCAGTAATATGGCGGCCATGTTGACGGGCAGACATATATACAATAATTGTGCTAAAACTATATTAAATGACCTTTTATATACCATTTGCAGATTATTTCTATCATATGTACATATCATATTTAAAAGTGCACACGGACTTTATAAACAGACTGTATAAATATAAATGATCAATTATTTTAAAAGCTAGATAATTGATCATTGTCCTAAAACTTTAATAAATTTTACCTTTTATCCGCTATTTACAGATTAGTTCTATCATATGTGCATTGAGAGATATTGATAGTTAATATTGACACGGAATTTATAAACACTGACTCTGTATATCTGGTTTTCATGGATGGTGACATAACTCACTTGTTGGCCAATAAAATTATATCTGTGTCTCGTCGTTAATAGAATTGAAAGTGACAAGACTGACGCGGTATGGTGGTGGTGGTGGTGGTGGTGGTGGTGGTGGGGTCTTGTTGTCGTGGGTGTTGTAGTGTGTTGGTTAATGTACGTGTGTGTGTGTGTGTGTGGTCCTTCTTCTGTGGATCTCTTCCTTCCTTCCTTCCTTCTTCGTCTTAGTTCCCTTCTTCCTCTCCCTCTCTCCCCTCTCCCTCCTCTCCTTTCCTCCCTTGCTCTGCTCCTATTTTTACACCCACCTCTGTTTCCTACCTCCTCCTCTCCTCTCTCTCCCCTTCTCCCTCTTTCCTCCCTCTCTCCCTTATACCCACCCTTCTTCCCCCCTTCACTCAATTCTGTCTTCACTCCCACCACCCACACACCCCACCTCCACCCACCCTGCCCCCCCCTTCATCCTACTCCCCCTCTCTCTATTCTACCCCCCATCCTTCATCCTCCCCCCACCCCTTCATGTTTCAGTTAGGGCATAACCACATTGGCTTTTATTTAATTGGGTCCTTGAGTGTCTTTATTATGTTGATTGTGTTAGATCATTTCTCTCTCTCTCCGGGGTAACGCGAGGCCTGTCTTCAAGGAATGTGTGGGGTTTTAGTGTGTTGCTGAGAGAGAGAGAGAGAGAGAGAGAGAGAGAGAGAGAGAGAGAGAGAGAGAGAGAGAGGTGTGTGTGTGTGTGTCTTTACTGATGATAACAGATTAGAAGACTGGGAGACGATTGGACAAATATATCATGTATACTTATCTATATATACGAATAATAAGATAAGAGATTAGCAGACGTAGACTCGATTGGAAGAGGAACACCAAACACCTTATCTATACTGTGTCGATTTGGTCGTCTTACTTATACAAGGAACACCAATTGTGTCTCAGTGGCTGTCTACCTGGACAACAGCAGCTTCTAGATTGGTACAGCGTTGAGTCCTGTGTAGTTCATCACCTGGGTATATTAGCTTTGATGTTCAACTGAAATACACGTGTTGTGTGTGTGTGTGTGTGTGTGTGTGTGTGTGTGTGTGTGTGTGTGTGTGTGTGAGCCACTTCAGATGATGAGGAATGGCGAGATAAACAATGAACACCTGTAGTGATAAAGACAGGTGCTTTGTGGTAGAGGAATTTCATATCCACACTCCCACACGCCTGCACGCCCACCACACACACACACACACACACTCCTGATTTATGTACTGTACAGCCCTGTAAATGTATCCAATGCATATTATATCATTATGTCTAAATCAAATGTAAGTCTGTATATTTTCAGCCACCGGCTGCAACTCTATTAATAAACCGTTTATTATTATTATTATTACACACACACACACACACACACACACACACACACACACACACACACACACACACACACACACACACACACACACACACACACACCCAAAAAGACAAACACCAACAGAATAAATCAGTCAATATTGATACGATATCTTAGAGCGCAGAGATAATATTTTATTTTTCGAGGATTATGCAGGCTGTTAGTGATGGTGGTAGTGTGGTGCTGTGGTAGTGATGGTGGTGGTGGTGGTAGTAGTGATGGTGGTGGTGGTGGTAGTAGTAGTGGTGAGTGATAGTAGTGGTGCTGGTAGTGATGGTGGTGGTGGTGGTGGTAGTAGTGGTGGTGGTGTTGATGGTGGTGGTGCTGGTAGTAGTGGAGGTGGTAATAGTGGTGGTGGTGATGGTAGTAGTGGTGGTGAAGTATTAGTGGGTGGTGGTGGTAGTAGTGGTGGTGGTAGTCGTGGTGGTGGTGGTGGTAGTAGTAGTGGTGGTGGTGGTAATAGTGGTGGTGGTGGTGGTAATAGTAGTGGTGGTGGTAATAGTAGTGGTGGTGATAGTAGTAGTAGTGGTGGTGATAATAGTGGTGGTGGTGGTGGTAGAGGTGGTGGTTATAATAATAATAATAATAATAATAATAATAATAAAATAAAGATCATCATATCACTTATAATAAATAATTCACGTTTATTCCTTCAATAATTATTAATTATCATCATACTGACAACATTAACACTAAACCACTAATTATTACCTGGACTTAATGACGTCACCAATTAATTACCACCTGAATTATAGACAAGTTTGGTAAGTTGAATATAATGGTTGAAATTATATATATTATTAGATGTTATTATTGTTATAGGTTACACACACACACACACAAACAGACACACAGACACACACACACACACACACACACACACACACACACACACACACACACACACGCACATAGTAAACAATGTACGTGTGTTTATATTAAGTGATAAACACAAAAGTTGTAAACATTATTAATTTGTAAATGTTTTATTATGACTAATGTTATTGTTTGTGTTTTACAGCCAGCCGGGAACCATGTGAGTATTGTTGTTGTTGTTGTTGAGCCCTGTATGTTATTGTCTGTCTGTCTGTTTCTCTCTCTTTCTGTCTGTCTCTCTCTGTCTGTCTCTTTCTGTCTACCTGTCTGTCTGTTTTTCTCTCTGTATACCTGTCTGTCTCTCTGTGTCTACCTGTCTGTCTGTCTAACTCCGTTTCTTTGCCTGCCTGCCTGTCTGTCTGTCTACCTTTCTATATCTGACCGTCTATCTGTCTATCTTCTCTGTCTCCCAATATTTCCCTGTTTCTGTAAACCTCTCTCTCTCTCTCTCTCTCTCTCTCTCTCTCTCTCAACTCAGGATTGCATGAGGTAGGTCGAGGTAGAATATTTAACATGATTAACTTAAGGTGTGAGAAGGGGTGATGATCGGGGGGGGGGGATGGTGCTATAGGTATTGATTGGGTTAACTTGGGTGATTGTATCAAGTCTGTGGGGGGCGGTGGAGAGCCTTTGTTAACGAGGGTTGTTAGGTAGTTAGGGAGGTCGTTTGTTTGTTGTCATTCTCCCATATTAACCCTTCTCAGTATCCCTCACCTCATATTTCTCTCACTTTCTCAGTCTCTCTCACTCTCTGTCTCTAACTTCTTAACTCTCTCACTATCTCAATCTCACTCTCGCAGTCTCTCTCACTCTCTCAGTCTCTCTCACTCTCTGTCTCTAACTTCTTAACTCTCTCACTCTCTCAATCTCTCTCACTCTCGCAGTCTCTCTCACTCGCTCAGTCTCTCTCACTTCTTAACTCTCTCAATCTCTCATCTTTCCGCGACTGAACAGAATCCACTTGTTTGCGGGTTTCTCGGGCGATGATTGGGCGACAGTTCCTGCAGTGTCCGTCGGTGTTTCTTCAGACAGACAGACTGAATTAACCAATCACAGCTCCCAATCCTCCATGGAGTTTGTTTACCTTCACCCAATCTTGTTCCTCGATCCCTCAGTGATTAGTTTTTGTCCCTAACCTTTGCCCGGATGATTAGTTTTGCCGTCTCCCAATCCTGTCTGATTAGATGTTTTCCCCTTTTATAATTCCTGGCATTTGGTCTAATCTGGTCTTATTGGAGGAGCTGATTCTCTCTCTCTCTCTCTCTCTTGTTTTTACTTTCTCATTCATTATGTTTGCCTGTCTGTTGAGCTGTCTTTCGATTTTTCTGTCTGGTCTGTCTGTCTGTCTGTCTGTCATCCCACAAGCATAATCACCACCACCACCACCACCACCCAATTGAACCCACACTATTGAACTTCTGACAGCTCGATGCCTTCACAAAACTCACCATCAATTTGAACCAGTAATTACTCCAAGGCGTCGAGGCAATGTATATAAATGTGGCCATCTTTATGCAGGTCCATTTAAAAAGTGATTACATCCAGGTACTGTATTTAGATGGGGGAATTTGACGAGATCCACACACTGTAGTTTTGTCGTGTCGTGAACTGGTGACTTGGTTAGGACTTGGTCAGTTGTTGGTTAGGTTGGGTTAGGTGAATTCTAGTACTAGTTGACCTATCCCTCAGGTCCTAATAGGTCCTGAATAGGTTAACCTCAGTTACCTGTGGCACTCTCCAGGCACTGTCCTTCATGGTCAGTTCCGATACTTGTGACACTTTCCTTGTGGCACTGTCCTTCATGGTCAGGTCAGATACGTGTTAATGATTCACAGTAAGTCAGTTGCTTCAGTTAATATTTTAAATGATTTACAGAACCTAAGCTGCCGCCGATGTAAAGTCTTGTTCAATCCTGTTTAGGTCCACACACACACACACACACACACACACACACACACACACACACACACACACTACAGTAAATTATCACTTGGACTTATCATTTACTAGATGGACGATGTCTTAAGGTCATCCATCAGGTCATTTTAGGTCAATTCAGGTCCACATAGTATTAATACATAGCCAGTATGTTGTTGTGTCTGCCTCATTGCCTCAATTTAAACGACCATTACCCCTAAAGTATTGCCTTAACTGGGGTGTTTCTTTATGAGTGTCTGTACTAATTGATCTTCATTTTTACAGTGACGTGTTGTTGATGATGTTGGAGGTAGAATGTATTGGTTAGTTAGTTAAATTTATGGTGGTGGTAGTGTGGTGGTGTGGTGGTGTGGTGTGGTGTTGGTGGTGATGTGGTGGTGGTGTGGTGAAGTTGGTGGTGGTGTGGTGTGGTGATGGTGTGGTGGTGTTGGTGGTGTGATGGGTGGTGTGTGAAGGGGGTGGTGGTGTTGGTGGTAATAGTGGTAGTGGTAATGGTGGTGATGATGGTGGATGATGGTGGTGGTGTGGTGGTGATGTGTGTGATGTGGGGTGGTGTGGTGGTGGTGTAGTGATGGTGGTGTGGTGGTGTTGGTGTGGTGGTGATGGTGGTAATAGTGGTGGTGGTGGTAATGGTGGTGATGATGGTGATGGGGTGGTGGTGATGGAAGGTGTATAAATTTGTGTGTATTGGCGTGTGTGTGTGTGTGTGTGTGTGTGTGTGTGTGTGTGTGTGTGTGTGTGTGTGTGTGTGTGTGTGTGTGTGTGTTTGTGTGTAAGGGGAAGAGATGCTGTAAATATTGGACAACAGGGGAGTCAAGGGCTTCCCCTCACTCGTGTCACGTTGATAATGCCAGGGAGAGGAGGGTCGTGAGGGGAGAGGGGGGTCGTGAGGGGAGAGGGGGGGAGGGAGGAAAGGGGAAAGGGGGATGTGAGGAAGGGGAATAAGGGGGACGTGAAGGAGGAGGAGAGTGAGGGTTGGTGACGGGCCAAGGGGAGGAAGGTCGCGAGGGAGAGAGAAAAAAAGGATTGTGGGGAGAGGGGGAATGAGAGACGGAGGAGGGGTGTGAGAGAGGGACGGAGTGTGTAGGAGAGAGAGAGGGAAAGAGTCTGGCATAACACTTATAGGTCAAGAGTCAGGCAGTAAAAGTGTATAAACTTCTCCTCAGAATGGTCGAGTTACATGCAGCCAGTATCAAGCGCTGTTTTATTTATGTATTAAGCATAAAAAAAACACGACTCATACATCTACCAGACATTAATAGAGGCTGGTAATATATTGGTATTACTCAAGCTGGGGTGAATTAGGCGTATTGTCTCGTAACTCGGAATAAATTAGCAGGAAGGGTGCAATCTAGTATAGTTAGCCCCTCCCCTACCACCGTTTTCTTCCACACACATAAACAAACCCGAGAATATCGTCGACCAGCACGTAGAGTGTGTGTGTTGGGGGATAAAATAACGCAACTATTTACTCTTGAGTCTCATTGTACTTCCGACGTCATTTTATTAGTTAAATTGGATTCCTTTTTTGAGTCGTATCTGTTAAATATTCATCCTATCCATAACCTAACCTAGAGCGGTTACTCCTATGTTACAGCGGTGTGAGGGATAAACACTCTATCTCTGTCACGCCAGTAATTACAGAATGGGAATATAAACGATCCCAGGGGTGAAGGGGAGGCGTTACAATGGATGACCTACGATAAAATTCTCGTAAAAAAATGCCGCGTGATTCCTGCCTGGTATTGTGGGTTGGTAAATATCCTTTGTGTTGTGTTATAATTTGCTCACGCCAAGCTTACCACTGGACCAAATCAAAGAAATCTCGTGATTGATGACGTTATATACGATCTAGTGAGGTTTTATGCTACTTAGTGAGGTTTATAGTGAGGTTTTATGCGATCCAGTGGGGTTTCGTCAGGTCCGACATAGGGGTCATAAACTGCACGGTGCCTGACGGGGGGAGGGAGGGCGGGCGGGATCTCACACACTGGAGACTCGTATTAAGGCTGTCTGGTGTGGTGACAGGTTGGGATGATGGTGGCGAGCTGTTTCCTGCCTCATCTCCTCATAAACACTCTCTTACCTCCTCACCTAGGTTACGATTGGCTAGGATAAGTTAGGTAGGTTAGGTAGGATAGGTTAGGTTAGGTAGGGTAGGATAGGTTAGGTAGGGTAGGATAGGTTAGGTTAGGTAGGATAGGTTAGGTTAGGTAGGATAGGTTAGGTAGGATAGGTTAGGTTAGGTAGGATAGGTTAGGTTAGGATTGGATAGATTAGGTCGGTATACAGTATAGAGCATGGTGCCTCGACCCGCTTCTCTGCACCACAAGACACAGGTAAGGTTACGTATTAGTACGAGTTGAACACCTGAGTGAGAGTTATCCTTAGTCCAGTGGGTGGTGTGGGGGTTGTGGGTGGAGGGTGGCGTGTGGTGTGGTGTGGGGTTGTGGGTGGAGGGTGGCGTGTGTGTGGGGGGTGTGGGGTTGTGGGTGGAGGGGTGGCGTGTGGTGGGGTGTGGAGGTTGTGGGTGGAGGGTGGGGTTGTGGGTGGAGGGTGGCGTATGGTGGGGTAGGGTGGAGGGTGGGGTTATGGGTGGCGTGTGGTGGGGTGTGGGGTTGTGGGTGGAGGGTGGCGTGTGGGGAAGTGTGGGGGGTGAGGAGGTGTGGTGTCGGGGTGGGGGTCGCCTGAAGTGTGGATGTGTTTACGGTATCGACCCAAGTTGTTGATCTTGTGACACTTTCTTCCTGGTGTTATTGTGTGTGGCACCCCCCCCCCTCTCCACACACACACACACACACACACACACACACACGCGCGCGCGCGCTTGCAGTATTTTTTGGGGGAAATATATATGAAGGGTAATTTCAATAGTGTGTTATATTATTTGAGAATATTAATGAAAGGTGTTTTACGTGTGTGTGTGTGTGTGTGTGTGTGTAAGTGTAATCAGCATACAGTAACCCACACACCCTCTGTCTCCCGCAGCTGATTGACGACGATGGCTCCCTGGACGCTGTGCTCATCAACTACCTCTTCGCCAAGCAGATGGTGGAGCGTCTGAGAAACAACGCCGACATCAAGGACCTGCAGAGGAAACGCTCCTACTGGAAGCAGTGCGCCTTCAACGCCGTCAGTTGCTTCGGCAAGAGGAAGTGAACACGCCAGCTAAGGCAGCAAGCAGAGTCAGCGGCGGGAGGAGCGGAGAGGCAGGGAACGGTGGTCAAGCGGTGTTGGTAATGAGTGAGAGTAATCAGGTGTTAGTGAGGAGCGTTCACTTACCGTCTGACCCGCCCCCCCGCCATGCCGTCACTGCACACAACAACAGTATCTCTGCAATTCTGGAAAAATGAAGCACCAGCCTCTGTATCCTCACCCTTTGGTCTGGTCCTCCTCATTCAAATATTCGTCGGAGAGAAATAAATTATGTGATAAAATTACGACTGACTGATAGAAGGCAATAAAGTGGGCCTCTCCGTGTAGTAATAAGCTTAAACAGTTCAAAGTATATCCTGCATTTGTTACGTCACTGAGTCTTGAGGGAACTGAGGATGACGCTTCTCACCACAGAGCCTGTTGAGGTCTGTTCCCGTCGTCTGCTTTATATTTAATTAATATTTACTATACTGCACATAGAGATGTATCAGTACTAGATATATATATATATAAAAAATATTGTCTGTCTGTAATTGCATATATAAAAGCTTAGTGTGGACGACCCGTGGATCACCATGATAGGCTTGTGGTGTGCTGCTGCATCATGGCGGGAAATACTCGTTTATGGTCCACACAGCCAGCGTCCAGCCCAGTCCAGCCCAGCGTGCAACTCTTTCAGGAACTGCAGATGAACCCGTGGATGTTAACATATTATGTAGCGTAGGTTGTAACCATAAATAATAAAAAGCCCTAAATCTCACACTTCATCTTAGCGTGCAGAGGAGCATCACACTACACTGTTAGTTGTGTCATTATTCAGTATTTTAACTTTTATTACAGTGAGTTTCTCTATTATTCGTTTATCTGCTTGTTGACTGCACGAGGCTGTAGATGGCGCTGTCTTTTGTGTCAGCAAACCACATTGATAGGCTGTTGTGTCAGCAAGCCATGACGGTTGTCTTGTGTCAGCAGTCACAATGGCAGTCTGTTGTGTCAGCAGTCACTAGGGCGGCGCCTCACGGCCTCACTGACGGAGGCTTCCTGTAGCCAGAGGTCAGAAGACTTTCCTCATTGATAAATCATTTATGAATTGCACTTCGCTTTATTCATGACGGTTACTTACTTTATTTATGTCACATATTTTGAAATAAAATTGGCTGATTAACACACTTGTATTACTTGTACCTAACTTAACACCAACCAAGGCTAATGGAGCAACACAAGTAGGGAATTAATCTCATAGGCCTGGCGACCAGTTAGCAGCAGTGTGCATACAACACACTGTACACTAACTATTCGGTACACAAGAAAGCAAAATGGCGGCACTATACTCATGCTTCACCTTCCCAGTCGTAAGTTAGGGAACCATTACAGCTGGAAGGAGGGGTCTTGCCTAGGGCGTGAACCAGTTGCCGATGATCGCTGGTTGCAGCTAAAGGTGAGTACATTAATCATTACAGCATGACAATATATCGAAGGAATCTGAAAAACAATATATGACAGAAAATCTTGTCGACTGAACTCATCTGACCTCTTGTGGTACACCAACACAACTATGGAAATTAATATCTCTTGGACGGACAGACAGCAGGACACAAGGCAACATAAGGGCCCGTCATAAGAATTAAAATGATTCATAAGGAAACTTTTTTACGTATTTAAAAGTTCCAGAATATGTAATACATAATGTGGTAAATTGTATCTATAACTTTAAATATCTCAATGTTATTAAAGCTAATGCAATTTTTACACATATCGGGGTTAAGTTACATTGAACATATGTATTTCTATTTAATAAAAGTGTAAAGCAAGAATAAAATATTCCAAACCTTTAAACAATTGAATAAATATTAAATTCCGTGTAAGATCAGCAGATAATGTAGAATTAGATTAAAGTGAAAGACGATAATAACTCCAGGAAATAACCAAGTTTTGTGGCGTGAGAACACTCCAAGTGGCTGGTGAAGAGCCTCGGCCCACAACGACCTCACTGACACACACGTCTAGTCCTCTGCCACCTGGTGACCTGAGTCTCTTAACAAATTCTGTCAACAACGTCGTGGTGTTGGCTAGAGCTTGTTCACATACACCTGCTTGCCTGGGATTATTTCACAGTCATTGGTAAGTTGAAAGTGCTTGTGGAGTCTCGGGGAGGAATACTGCAGTGTGTGTGTGCCAGTGTGATGTGTCGGGAGGTTCTGTTACTGTCACCCGCCTGTTGCATGGTCCTCACACCCCGACCTTCTTGTTTATTTTGTAGAATTTTAAGTCAAGTAAACACCAGGAAGAGGCGGGACGAGTTATATACATCCATTGTGGTTAGGAAGACTGAGCAAGTGATACACTATATATGAAGCAGAGACAGTAACAGGTTCAACACGAGGGCGGTAGTTGGGTGAACAGTACTTTACGTTACTGATGGCTTGTTATCTGCGGGAGTAAAGCGTCTGTTGCAGTCTTTGTAAAGCATATTGGTGGAGAAGTAAGATAAAAATTATTTTGAATGTGCTTAAGACGGCAACTACAGTTTAATAGTATTTGTTTTTTTATTATTTGCCGAAGGCTAAGAGGCCACAGTCCACTTGATGCTTTTAAATAAATTCAAATTCATTTTTTCTTTCCTCGTTCACAAAATTTACTCTCCGTAAATTAATAGTTCGAGAAAATCTGGAAGTATTCAAACAATTTCTAAGATTAATTTCCGTAAACTACAACGTTGAAAAACCAGACTTTAGCCCAACGCTGAGTTACTCGGCTGTCAGCTGCGACCTACACTCATGTGGTTGTACTGAATGTTAAAAAGGTAAATGTGTCGCCATAATATACAGCTTATGTCTCCACATTACCATATACATGGAGTGGAGTCAATTTTAAATATTGTTTGGGAACTTGTATATTATCAGTAGACCTTAGTTGTGGTGTTTAGTGTTCCGTCACCGTCCTCACTGTGACAGTATCTCTCCTGCTCGGTGATTTAGTTCGTCACTGTTTTAGAACATCGTCCTTTTCACTTACCATTATTGTTTATATTCACAACTAGAACCTCTCGGTGAGGACCAACACTTAGTTAAAAAAAACAACAACACAATGATGTTTGTTAAAATCAGATGAAATTTAGTTATTTATTTCGTCGAAGTGGTCTGTCTGTCTGCAATGACGTAAGGTAAAAAATACGCTTTTAGCACATAATTTAGTTTCTGATTTGTAAATGGCAAATTAAAATATATTTCACATAAATGACGCGATGCTCATCCAAACATCATGATGACGCCCCATAATTGAATTACTCAATAACAGTTAATAGGTTGATAAACAACTTGTGAAATAGTTAAAAAGTGTACGAACAGGTTGAGGAAATTACCACTCGCTTCTCTAGATAAGTTGTACTGGAGGTGGGACACTGCTGCTGTACCACATCACTTGGGGGTGTTAGGACAGTTCAACAGTCCGCCATTGTTTTATTCATGTTGTGTCTGATCACTGATCCTGCCAGCCACGACTCGACCGTGCCTCTAAGCCCCCTTCCTAGTGTCACAGTACTGAGGCTATCAGGCGGTGCACAGCGGGTGTTGACACAACTTTAAAGACCCGCCTGGCCACACAACCTCCTCTAGGCTTGACAATCACAAGGTTTTAGCACTGCTTTTAAGCTGTTGTGTGGCCAAGCACACAGCGTCTCAGTCTGGTGGTGGCTGTTCACGAGTTAAAAGCCTCTGTTGTTTGGCAAGTAAGGTAACTGTAACCTGTAGAGTGAGTTACTACAGTTATGGAAGGTTAGGTTAGGTAAGGCTTGATTTGGTTATATAGTGTCAGTTTTGGAGAAAATAATAATGCTGAAAATCGTAAATCATCGAAGTCACAAATATAAGGAAAAAAGATAAAATTGGGCGTTAAACTGAGAGAGAGAGAGAGAGAGAGATGGATGGAGATGTTGGTGTGGTAAGGGGACTCCACACGACCCAGCTGCGGAGAGGAGAGAGAGAGATTTTGACCAAGATTATAGGATCGTGAGCAGTGTGTAGACCAGGGGCTCACAGCTTAACTCCTGCAGTCGTATTTCACCCAAGAGACCTATGTTAATTGGTTTCACTGTGTAGGTGAGGCTGGTGGGTCGCTGTGGACGCTTTGTTGAAATGTTCTGTAGTTAAAGACTCAAGAGAACATGTTATAGAACTTAAATGAACACAGATATAAACAAACAAAAATAAACAAACTAAAATATGCATCTCTTTCATGTTTTTGTTAAATTATATTAAATCTCTCGCTGCCATGGATGATTTGAGACGACAATTCTTAAACAATATAATGTATACAAAAATCATAACCGTATTAGTGATGTATTAGTTTTTATTAAGTGAATTTCCTTTATAAATTGTCCCACTGCACTTAGATCATAACTGGTTTAGGGACGTGTTGCTGTAAGAACATATTGCTGTCAGACTCGAATGAAAATGCAGTGATATATAAGAAATTTTATAATGAACGTCGAGAGAATCGTGTTGCAAGATAGTTTGTGCGGCTGTCACCTGTTTATTACATATTATCCAGGTGGTGACAGCGAGAGGACACCTAACTGGCGGGTCTCACTAGGTTACAGCTCCTCTCTCCTCAAGCCCCCCTCACCACCACCATCACCCCTCACCATCATCACCACCCCTCACCATCATCACCACCCCTCACCATCATCACCACGCCCCTCCCCCTCACCACCACTCCCCCTCCCGTTCACCACCACTCCCCCTCCCGTTCACCACCACCTCTCCCCCTCACCACCACCCCTCATTATCACCACTCCCTTCACCACACGAGGCTTCACGACACCGGGATATGAAACTAGTCAGAAAATGTAATAAGAAGATGACATAGAGAATATTACATACATATATTATACGATGATAAGAGGTAAAATAATACCAACATTACTCGTGACTCCAATGCGTCTTTTCGTGAACAGTATTGGATGAACTAGATTATTATATTAGTTAGAATATATTGAAATTTGAATACTATTTATGACAGAATGTTTTGTAATCACTTTATTTTCACCTAGTCTTAACAACCTACTGCTAGTTTTAACACCTGCTGCTAGTATTAACACCTGCTGTTAGTATTAATACCTGCTGCTAGTATTAACACCTGCTAGTATTAACACCTGCTGCTAGTATTAACACCTGCTGCTAGTGTGGATCTCCTTATAATGCCTGTTTAAAGACCTTTGTTGTCGATGCACAGAAATACTTAAACATTAATTTAACTCAGAATGACACTTATAAACATTAGTTATTGTCTACGGGTTTGAACATCACGTGTATGAAAGTCCTAGATGTTAAGACAGAAATATATGTTTATAATAACATTTGTACCATGTTAATGAATTGTAACATCAAGAGTGAATTTAAAATACATTTATTAGTGCATTTGTTTGTTGAAAGTTATTTGTTGTTTGTTGTAGAAATTAATTGTGGCTTAAATAAGAACTCGCATAATAACACCGATAGTCACAAAGCGTAAAATAAGAACTCGTATATATTCCTATGGAGAGAAATCACCACACACGCGTCTCTGAAAGTATGTCTGTCACACTGCACTCTCAATTAAAACACAAAGAGATCCGGTTCTGTTAATTTGTTGCAGAGCTTTTGTTAAGTCGAGCGCTTCATCTGCTTTTGAATTCCACATATAGACGACGATGCTTAAGTAACAGGCGGAGTAATACGTCAACAAATACATAAGAATTCAATAACAAATCTGGGGTATAATGGCGTTCTGGTCGGCAAGGCAACTTTATGCTTCGTTAAGTTAGTGGTGCAGGCTGGTGTGTGTGTGTGTGTGTGTGTGTGTGCAGTTAGAGATATAATGAAGTATGACCTTAGTTCACTACAATGACTAGATGATCAAGATGTAGTGTTATAAAGGTCGTGGTATATCTTCCTAAAGGATTTAATATAGAGATAATCGTAGTTGTTAGAGAGAGAGAGAGAGAGAGAGAGATCAAAGGGCGAGAGACACCAAAGGGAGAGAGAGTGAGAGGTATGTAAGGTGTAAGTTAACGAACACACACACACACCTACTCCACGTATGCTTCTCACTGATCAATCGACAATGCTACAGGTGACATCCACAGGTGTACCGCCGATATATAGTAATTACCTGGGTGATTCTCAG